AATTAGTGGAGATATAATCCATAATCCCCTCGCATTCTTGCCGTCACCATAGCCCAGAGACAATGTTTTTAATGTCCGCTCTTATTCGCCGCTCTCCAGCTCACTCCATAGTGCCATATGCTGTCACGTAGAGGGGATATAGTGCCAGGCAGGGGGGCTGCTGACTGTCTAACATCTCTCCACTCAACTGACATGCACCTCGACCTGTTTGAAAACCTGTTAACCTGACAGGAACCCTGACAACATTGGGTTAAGATGGGCGACCCGTACAAATCAAGCTGTAAAAGGATAGCTAAAAATTTGTTCTCTCATCATTTATTCACCCTCAAGCTGTTTCAAACCAGTATGGCTTTTTTGAAGTTGTTCACAGAAAGTCGGTTTGACGCCAGGGACCACACATGCCAAATTTTAATAAGGATAATGGATGAATTTGTATGGAACTTTTTTCAGTGAATAAAAAAATCGTCTGGAAGTCAGTGGGGTCCATCAACTGTCTGGTTACTGACATTCTTCAAAGTATCTTCTTTTGTGTTCAGCAGAAGAAAGAAATTCAGGAAATGATGACTGTATTTTCACTATTCCTTTAAGTACATTTTTATATGGAATTTCAAAATTACTTCTATTGTCTTTTGAGATATGCACTGATATGCACAAATTGTGGCAACATATTACAAGCAATATTATTAATTAAATTGTACAAATTAGAATTAATTAGAATATTATATATCAATTCTAATTTGTTAAATTTAATAAATAATATTGCTTGTAATTTATTATTAAAGCATATTAATTTTTACAGTGTGGTTAAAGTGTACTGCCAAATGAACTGACAAGCATTTAAACTAAAACATACTTTAATGTAACTTCTATTAAAACGTGCATGTCATATAATAAAATAATCGTTAATGTGTAATGTTTTTGCAATTCAGTACATTTTAAAATTAATAATCGAATAATATCGAGCACACTACACTGTAAAAAATATTGTTGGTTTAACTTAAAAAAGTAAGCAACCTGGTTGCCTTAAAATTTTAAGTTCATTGAACTGGAAAAAGTGAGTTAATACAATGAAGGAGAATGATTTAATAATCAGAAACTCAAAATTATATGTTATCTGAACTAACTAAATAAATTATTTAAGTTGATTTGACGAGAAAAAAATGTGATTACTACACTGTAAAAAATATTGTTGGTTTAACTTAAAGTAAGTAACCTGGGTTGCCTTAAAATTAAGTTGATTGAACTGGAAAAAGTGAGTTAATACAATGAAGGAGATTGATTTAATCATCAGAAACTCAAAATAAAAAGTTATCTCAACTAAATAAATTATTATAAAGTTGATTTGACAAAAGAAAATATGTTATGATAACAAATCTTGAAAATATTTTTTTTACAGTGTAGAGTTAAAATTATAATCAAGCTCTTTACATGTATCAAAATAATTTAATATTATGTTATCTGCAAGTACAGTTTTTTGTTTTAATATACATTTTCACAAGGGTGTGGTTTAGTTGTATGGAAAGAAAAAGATCGGAAAGTACTTCAAAGCTCTAACCTTTTGTGTGCCACGGAAGAAAGGAAGTCATACAGGTTTGTAAGTGATGACAGACTTTTCAGTTTGGGTGAACCATCCTTTTAGGAATAGTTCCTCACTCCCTCCAACCATGTTTCTGATCAAAACAGTCCGCACGGCAACCGAACATCCAATCAGAGTGAGGACATCTGCTCGGGCAGATCTGATTGGCTCTCCTTGAGCTTCAATTTTAATCTCTTTTGCTTTATAAAACGGGACAAAAGCAGAGCTTCCGAAGTAGAACACTTTGCTTGTAATTATGTCTGTGCTTGAATTATATCTGACAATTGTAATGGATGCCTTCATCTTTAATTATGATTTGTGTCAGCCTGTGAATACGAGAGCACATATAATTGGGGATTGAGGAAGGTCTGTTTTTTATTTTCTTTCTCTCTGGGAGATGATAGATTTAGATTCGGCTCCGGAGAAAGAAGCCGTGACAGACGGCGCAATGATTGCGATCAAAAATCTGGTTTGTGCACCCCTGACGCCAGTGACCGGGAGCTATAGTTGGGCTACTCCCTACCCAGCAATCCCTGGGGCACTCTCTAAACCTTATGAGCCTGAAACCGATTACATGACAATAACATCATTTTTGCAGAGCATCTAAAACTAGGAAAAAATGGCTGCCTTCCAATGCCAGCGGTCTCCCTCCCCCATTCATGACCCAGGCTGACCCTCAAGTCTGTGAGCTATTGGCGTTTTGACCTTTTCCTCCCACAGCATGGGAGCGCAAGATAATGATAATGGCAGTCATTTTCTTAATTAGCTGAGCTGACATTAAGTGACCCGTTTTGTTTGTTTGTTTGTTGGCACCTTTGTTCAATCTCTGCTTGTGATTTTAGGAATTTGGCTAGTTCCATATGGATTAACCATCATGCTTTGTTTCAAAACTGTAGTCCTGTTTTGTACATTAGCAGTCACATTATACATGTGTTTGTGAGGAGTTTCTTTCTGCAACTCACAGATATCACAAAGGTCATCAATCATGCAGGTTATATGACTAATAATCCTTGAAGTGGAGAACGTGATTTGTAAATGTGAGTTTGTTAGAGCCAATATTTCAAAGTATTATAATATCCATCCATTAATATCCGTCTACCCCACCATCTCGGGTTTTATTTTACTTCAAAATTGTATCTATTTATCAATATTCCACCAGACCTAACACTGGCATTAACATGCTAATAACCCAAAAACACATATTTTATTTTTATATTATTGTATTTTATTAGCTTTTATTATTATTATCAGTTTTCCTTTTAATTTAATTTTAAGTTTTCATTATTTTATTTTCTAGATTTTTGCTTTAGTTTTTATTTCAGTTTACGTTTTAAGTAGGGCTGTCAATCGCGATTAATCGCATCCAATATAAAAGTTTGTGTTTGCATAATATATGTGGGTGCACTGTGTATAATTATTTTGTATATATATAAATACACACACATGCATGTATATTTAAGAAAAAATATTATTTATATATGAAATATTTATATTTATATATAATATAAATTATATATAAATCTATACAGTATATAAATGAAAATATTTCTTAAATATTTACAAGCATAAAATAATTATACTCAGTTCATCCAACTTTTATTTTGGATGTGATTAATCGTGGTTAATCATTTAAGTTTAGTAATTGTATTACTTCATCTAAAGCTTATTTAAATTAGTTACTAAAGATACATTTCTATTTTTATTTTCAATGTTTAGTTGAATTTTTTTGTAAAATTTGTTTAATTTTATTGCAGTTTCTGAAAATATTTTCTTAATATTTGTAGTTTACCAATAACAAGAAACCTTTTAACCACTCTGAAGTGAACACTAGAATTCATTTAATAGTATCTCGTTATGATTTCTACTTCATTCAGTCATTTTATTTGTTCCCCGAACAGTCAACATGTCTCAATTGCTATTATAAATGTTGTCACATGGACCATAACCATTAATGTGGCATGTCAAATGCTACATGTATGCAGTGACATCATCACCGCAGCCACGCCGGCTGCAGCTTCACGTTAATAGAGAACTAATGAGAGCACATTTGCAGGGCCGTGGCTGACACACTCATGTTTCATTCATGAGGCTGGCGGAGAACAGCACTAGATAATGATAATTGTTGCCCGGTGTAGTGCGGACGTGCAGTAGCGCAGGTTTGTGCGCTGATAGGGCTGGAGAGGGCATGTTTGGCAGCTTATGGGCAACAGGCATTTGACATGCGTCACTTGCACTGTTATTGTTGCCTATGCATGTGTGGCTATTGCTGGACCATCTGTGTAATGTGGTGTCACTGTAAATAATATCCATTCCACACTATTTTGAAGCTGTAAATAAAACAAGGATTATTACAGTATGTTTTACAAGAAAATATTATTTTAGTCTTTCTACTTTAAAATGTTGTTGAGTTTGGTGTTACTTGCTGCTTCTGTAATTATTCGTGAAATTTGTAAAAAAACAAAAAACAAACAACAACCTTCTAGTGAGTTTACCGTTCTCTGTAAAAAATATATATTTTCAAGATTTGTTATCACAACATTTTTTCTTTTGTCAAATCAACTTAAATATTTTTAGTTCAGATAACTTATTATTTTGAGTTTCTTATGATTAAATCAATCTCCTTCATTGTATTAACTCACTTTTTCCAGTTCAATCAACTTAAAAATTTAAGGCAACAAGGTTTTTTTTTAAGTTAAACCAACATTTTTTTTACAGTATGGTTAAGATGTTTATAATAACTTCATAAAGGAAATCAAATGAATTATCAATACATTGGAATTATTACGGTTTACATCTATTTATTTATTTTTAATTTTTTCATTGCTTCACGTCATTCCGTTGTTTTTATTTTTTTGTTTTGTTTCAAAGGTTTCATGTAATTCCTTGATTTTGTATACAGTGCTTTTTGTATACCGTGCCTAACTTTGTGTTTTTTTGTTTTGTTCTGAAGGTTTCATGTCATTCCTTTTTTTTTTTTTTTGTATACCGTGCCTAACTTTTTATCTGTCAGGCTTTGTCTGATCCAGGAGCAGTGGTGTATTATGTGGCTCTTGCTCTTCACACAGGGCTGTAATCTTTCAGTGTGCTTCTGGTGTGATTTGAAGTGTAGTTTCTCTTGAAATAAGAAACGTCAGTCAGACACAGTGACTTGTGGCTGCAAATCTCCTCTCAGCACAGACAGAAACAGAGTGTAATGTACTCGGGCTTCTAAGGAGCGTTCCTACGGCTGCAACAGTCTCGACTAATCTCACCCAGAGCAGCAGGTGATTTTCAGAGGATTTGGCCTACAGCTGCAATAGAAACTGAGGTTACGGAGTTGTCTGTTGGGTTTATCCCATTTTCTTCGGCCACTTCTCGATAAATCTGCTGGGCCTGTGGCTTCCTTTAACGCTTTCTCTCTCTGTCTCTTTCCCGCCTCTCCTAGGCTCACCGGCATTACCCAGTAACGTGGCCTACTTCGGCACCTCTCAGGATGAGGAGGAACTGGATGATGAAGATGAAATTGAGGAGGAGAAAGCACCCAGTGTGGCATCCACGTCATGTCAGTCTACACCGAAGAAGGGCAAACTTCCTGGCAAGATCAACGGATTCGGTAAGAACAGAGGATGAATTACAATCGCAGCAAAATAGAGAGACTTTGTCTGTAACTTACTGTGTGGTTGTTTTTATGATTATAGTTTGCAATTACATGATTAATTAGCATGAAAAAATATGCAATATTATTATAAATTGCATTTAGTTGTCTGGTTAATAGTACAGTATCTTAATTTAGGAGATCTCTTAGCAATTATTTATAAGTTATTTTTAGGGCTGTCAAATGATTAATCACGATTAATCGCATGTTTACATAATATATGTGGGTGCACTGTGTATAATTATTTTGTATATATATATATATAAATACACACGCATGCATGTATATTTTAAAAAAGTATTTACATATAAAATATTTATATTTATATATAATATAAATTATATATAAATCTATAGACAGTAAATACATGAAAATATTTCTTAAATATATACAAGCATGTGTGTGTATTTATATATATATATATAGAATAATTATACACAGTGCACCCACATATATTATGTAAACACAAACTTTTATTTTGAATGCGATTAATCGCGATTAATCGTTTGACAACCCTAGTTATTTTTGCAAAAAGGAAATCAAATGTGATTGTAAGTGCATTTATTAAATAAATTATTTAGATTTCAAATAAATCTATTCCTATTCATTAAATAATACTGAAATATAAAAATATTAAGCAGCTGTTTTCAACTTTGATAATAATAAGAAATGTTTTTTTGAGCAGCAAATCAGCATATTAAGGCCATTGCACACTGAGTCCGAAATTTTCGGATGCGTTTTTCCGTGTTCGTCAGCCTAAAAATTCGTCACGCACAGAAAGCTTGCACACTGAGTCCGAAAAAAAAAACCCCGCAAAAATTCAAAGTGGATTCGTCAAGCAGTGAGGATGATTTTGTCACCCTCTCTCTTATTGAAAAGAGAAGAAAGAGAAAATATCCAATCCCGAAATTGCGCCGAGAGGAAGTAGAGTTTCACCTCCTCATCAAGGAGTTGCGAGTTTATCCCGAGCGATCCATAATTTCCTTCAGAATGTCAGGATGCAATAATGCTGATGCTGCGGATGCGAAAAACTTGAGGTCGAATTTTTTTTTTTACATGCGAAAATTTCAGATGCGAATTTTGGACTCAGTGTGCAATGACCTTTAGAATGATTTCTGAAGGATCATGTGACACTGAAGACTGGATTAGTGATGCTGAAAATTCAGCTTTGCCATCACAGGAATAAATGACATTTAAAATATATTAAAAAATAAAACATTTATTACAGTTTTTAATTACTATTTCAGAAAATTGCTGTTATTACTGTATTTTTGCTTAAACAAATACTGCCTTGCTGAGCATAAGAGATTACATTTTTTTGACCCCGAATTTTTTAACTGTGCTGTACACAGAGAGAGAGAGAGAGAATTGCTGTTGCTTGTATGGGAACGGGAATCTTATATTGGAGTGGGACATGACGCTTCCATCTTTCCACTCCAATTATCACTTTAGTAGGAAAGGCGGTAACAAGGTGTTTATGCATTCAGTCCACAGCTGTGCCGAGTAACGGCTGGCAACGTGTCGCTTTTCGCTACACACACTCTCACACACCCCCAGCAAATGAAGGAAAAACAGTCCTATAAGTCAGTTTGAGCACTTTATTGAGACTCTCAATAGATGCTGTGTGAGTTTAAAGAAGGGCGGCAAGGTATTGGGGGAGCATGTGTGTATGAAACAAAAATAGTCTGTCAGTAGATAATTGAAAGCCAAAAGGCTTGTTTCATTTAGTGTGTTGAAGTGTCTTTGGATCAAGCTGCCATCTATATATAAGCACAAATACACACATTAGTTGTGGAAGCATTTGTCTCTAAGTATTGTAGTTCAAGCTCACAGTTTAATTTATTTTTCATAAATAGTCTGAACAGTTCCTCCAAGATTTCATGATTGCAGAATTTAATGCATAAGCAAGCAAACTGTGTGTTATTTGCAGCAGCTATCATTTTTCCGTAATTTTCCCTTGAGAAAAAATAAATAAATATATATATATAAGCTCATGAAAACCCTAATTCCAATTAAAATAAATCAATAAATCAAGCGTCTTGAAAGGAAAGAACATTTCTGATATTAGGCCAATTTGAGAAGCGTGATCCAAGTGATTATCTACAAATCATTCATTCACAACCTTCACTTGTCTATTCAACCTTTCCACATCCAAACCGAGAAAGACACGGCTTTGTCAGCGATCTAAAGACGTTTATATTTGTGTTCAGCACATGGGATGAAATTGAGTCATTTTAATGCCACATATAGTTCATTATTTTTCACAATGCTTGATTTTACTATTCGATTTAATGCATTAATGCACTTGAAATAATTTGAGCGAATGCTAATACTATTATGTATTGTAATTTTAGAACAATAGACTGACATAATTGTTCAATTGCAAAAATATGAAATCATTATTTGAAACATTTAAAACGCACATGTATAAGCGTCACTGATTACATGCTGTCCAGATTTTTATTCCTATCCAAATTGATGTTTATTGCTCCAGATGTTTATCACCTTGTTCTTTACAGTCCAAAATTTTTGTGTATGTAGAGCACCTTGACCGCCTGAGGTGGTCGAATGTGTGAAATGCACACTGTCCCATGTTCAGAAAAAGGATTTTTCTCTCTCTCTCTCTCTCTCTCTCTCTCTCTCTCTGTCCTCAGCTTATCCGATGACTGGAGACATCCCGTTGTCTGAGCTGTCCCATGTCAAATGTGACACATTAATATGGAGCACAGGCAGAGCTCTAGTCTCTCTCTCTGTGTGTGTGTGTGTCTCGGAGCGAGAGAAACCACAGTGCTCGGCTTTCTTTCGCTGAACCTCAGTAACCCAGAGGCGTGTTTACATTTCTAAATTAAACACCTTTTATTGAGTTCAGCTGTCGGTAGCAGTTCCAAGTGCAAGCCTTACAGCGCGAAAGCCCGTCCGTTTCCCCTTCGCTGACACGCTCTGCTGCCTGTTGATATTTAAACACTGTAAAATTAAAGTGAGCAGTCATAAATACAGAGAGCAGTTTGAATGTGTGTTAATTAGAGCAGCCCAGACGGTCTGGATAACAGACAGAGACAGACGACCCTGTCCAAAAATAGTTATCCACAGCCTCATCTATAGAAAACATCTGCAAATGCATATTAAAAACAAACTTACAGATGTATTTCCAGTTTTGTGTTGGGTTGGTTTTATGCTTTACTTTTGCTTTGCCTTCTTTCCTTTTTTTTACTTTTACTGTAGATGTTTATATGAAGAGTTCAGATGCAAAAGCCTCTAAATGCCATTTGAAATTTTCTTCTTTAATGATGATTTTTATCAAACTTCAGTAATTTCACTTAAATAACAATTAATAGGTAATTATCATTGCCATTTAAGTGTAATTACTGAACTTAAATATACAAGTTTGATAAAAATCATCATTAAAGAAGAACATTTTCAAATGGCACTTAGAGGCTTTTGCATCTGAACTCTTCATATGTACAAAAGTGCTGACCGTTCGGTGGAATTTATTTCTCCTGATAGTTTTTACTTTCTGTCACTCACATGTCTGTAAAAGGCTCTTTCTCTGTTATGGTTTTGTTTCTGTCACTGCCTGTGCATCTTTTGGTGTTTTATAAAGTAGCTATTTACACAATAGAATGCTAGTGTTTAGTATATTATTTATTTATTTATTTTAATAGGGAATTATTCCGCCTATGATAAATGTTTCCTGCTACTTTTATTTATGACCTTTTGTCCGTTTTGACCATCTATTTGGTTCATCCCTCACACCAGAAATGGATAATTTATAGTTATTTCTGTAGTGACACTGTAAAATAATGTTACAGAATATTTGTGTGTATTTTAATAACCCTGTTATTACTGTCCCCTAGTGCTAAATGGCCATAAGGTACATAAGGACAAAGAGCTCACTCCCAGAACAAGAAGCAGAGAGTTGGCTTTGGGAAGAGATTGCAGCGAGAGGTGTGATGCGTCCGGTGACATCTCACACAAGCACACGGCGGCCACCGCCAAGAGCCACAACACCAACGGCCACAACTACAGAAGAGCCTCAGAGGAACTCCGCAAGCAGGTACCACCCTTCTGTCCATCCCAGTGTCAGTAAGATCAAGGGATTGTACAATGATTGGTCATGTAAGTGGCTTTGCACGCTGACAATGTGCTATTCATTTGGGAACATCGATCCTGATGTGGCCCTTAGACAATCAGACCATCTCCCGCATTAACGAGCAAAACTGACTAAGTGAACAATGAACCCCAGAGACAGATCTGCTCATCAGCCTCTCTTTCTTGCAAAATGACTTGTAGTAACCGAGAAGTGTAGGGCTAGCTTTGAGACACGGAGACATGTTTAGCTGTAACTCGTTTAGTTTATTCTTAGCTAAAAACACTTAGTTCTTTCAAAAATATATGTGCTCATTAATGTATATTTACTTCGTTCAAGTAATAAAGTATTCTCGTGAGTGTATAATATGCCATTGAAAATAAGCAGTCGCCATGTTGCCCCTCCATCTTGAAAGTACATTAGCCAAAGAGGGACATACCTGTTCAATTCAAGCTTCGCCTTTCGCGTGTACGTTTGAGTTAACACTCATGGACGAGGTCGAACTGGAAGCCATGTTAATCTTGGACTACACTGGCCACCGTAGGATTTAAAATTCCGAAATCGGAATTGAGAGGAACAGAAAATAATATTCACTGGATGGTCATATACCTTTTCACCGCTAGATGGGGGTAAAAATCACACAGTGTAGCTTTAAAATTTTTGTTTTGTATTGACATTTCATCCAGATGGATCCAGCGTTTTGGGAGCCTGCAACCGCTTTTTTTTTTTTTAAACAGATCCCAGAGTGGATACATTTGAAAATGACACCCTTGCGTTTTCATTTGTACAGCCAATCTGTATATTGTTTGAAACAAGGATGTCATCTTCCCATGTGTCGAAAAAAAAATATTTTTATTTTATTTATTTATATATTTTTTTCTTATGCTATGCCGCCTGTCTGATTAAGGGCCTGCTCACATATGGCGTTGTTTGCGCTCTCAAGTTCGTTGTTTAATATTCAGGTGTGTGGTATATGCGCTCATAATGGAAGCGACACGGTTGCGGTGTGACGCGCTTGTTTTTTCCAAGCTCACCCGCGGCGCATCAAGATAAAAACATCTCAACTCAGACACTCAATTCGCGTCATTAGTGCGAACTTGATGCGTGAATGAGGCATATTCGCGTCTACCGCGCCGCAGGAATTTTTTACGCACATAATGTGCCTTTGCATTGATTTTACATTGAAATCATTCGCGCCTGACGCGCTATTTGCGTCCGGTGTGAAGTTCTGTGAACGTAGCATTAGACATTTCACATTTTGTACCAGGCCATTTATGTTTTTTTTATTTTGTTCAGTGAAGTTATTGGTAAAAAAAAAAAAGAGAAAGAAACTACTGAGCCTATTATTATTGTATACAGCGAACCAGGTTTATGCACTTGCTCCAAAATCATCTTATCCATTTTTAGCGCATCTCTGTGGCATAGGCCTACTTACAGTGCCATACACTGGTCTGACATGTAGATTACATTGTTTTGTGTTTTGAGGTTTCAGCGTTTTCATGTGTACACAGATATTTCTTGAGACGACGCCGTGTTTACGTAATTGTTTAAAACGGCGGGGAAAACCGATCGGATAGGGATAGCTCTGGCTTTGAGTGGATGTGGCAAAGATCATTGTGATGAATCCTCATTTAGCAGTTGACACCTGGTCAGATAAACCCCGTTATTATTGTGACATGCACATAAACACACTACCACTCATCTGATTTACTTAAAACAATAAACAACACTGACAGATGCCACATAGCCCACTATTTTGAGAATCTATTAGACAGCTGTTGACCTCTGTCTCTCTTTAAAAGGCAATTTGGGTGTTGAAGAGCTATGGCCTGTGCTTGACCCTTTGCGCATGAGCTGAATGTTTATCATGCCGGCATCTATGTTTGTGCTGAACAACATTTAAAAAAACACTTTTTTAAAGTATTTATTTATATAAACTCTTCCATCATGAGCGGCATTATAGTCTTTGTAAGGTATGTCATTATTGTGCAGCAACTAATTCTGTGAAAAGAAAAAGTAGTGGAATCTAGGTTTTTATAGTTATAAATCTATAATTTAGTTATTATGAGAGTTTGCCAGGTTCAGCAGCGTTGTTTTTATTAAACATTTGTGTTAATTGTTATCCAAAGTGACAGCTATATTCATTTGTTTCATTGTATCCATGGAGTCTTTTTGATATTGTGGTTTTCTTGTGGTACTTGGCTGTGGGTACTGTGTCTCCAAAGAGAAAGTGTGTTGAAATGTAATGTTTTCGAATGCATATAAATATACAGTAAATAAATCTATAGACCAAATAAAACAAATGATATATTGTCAAAACAAAAACGACAAATCTGCCGGCTGCAGATGTCCTCAGTTAATTATTTTGCTTTGCTGCAGCTGGCCTATAGCAACACATGATGTCATCTGTCCTCCCTCACGCTCACATGTGAACGAGATCCACTTCAGAGAGCTGGCCCGGCCTCTGTCTGTCTGTTCCTGTCTCTTGTTTTCCTTTCTGGCTGTTAAGCGGGTTTAATTGCACGTCTCTGGCCAGCCGGCCTTTTAACTATTTCATCCTTCCTTCTATTCTCTGTCCTTGCTTTCTTCCTCCATTTCCCCTGTTTTCGAGGGGTTGCCCACTGGAGACAGTCCAGTGACCTGTGCTCTCTCGCCTACGCGGTTTCTCTCCCATTCTCTCTATTCAGGTGGAAGAGAGAGAATGAGATAATAGCCGGCAGGGCTGTGTTCTGGGATCAGTGAGCTCTCTAGTGGTCATGGCGCTCATTACACCGAACCGGGCGTGGAATTTGTGCTGCGCACACGCTCTACTCAGCATCCAGCACACTCTGGACATTATGCTGAGTGGGATTATCATTACAATCACATTCTGCACTCTCAGAGCCCTGCAGACGGGATTGGGCGTGCCGTAGACCACTGACGTGTTATTTCGAAAGGGGGCGGGTGTGATGGCCGCAGCTGACATCATGCTACATTTGCTTACTCTACCTGCAGAGAGCATCCATCATGCCTGCCTCTGGGGCTGGAGTCTGTCGCTTTCTTTTATATTCTCCCCCTCTCCCTCCTGCTGCTTTTTTTTTTCCACCGTCGACAAGGGGAAGCGATTGATGAAGGAGGTCACATTTCAGTCCCCCTTATCTTTTAATAGCCTCTCTTTGTTGTTCCGCTGCACCTGATAGGAATACAATACAGCCGATGTCTTATTTCAAAGACACTCAGCAATCTCCTGTTCTGTCCGACAGCGAACCTCTGGCCCAGAGATCACCGCAGTCCCCACAACACCGCCTCTCATCAACTTAGAGCGTTCAGAGATTTTAAAGTGAGAGAGATGGGGAGGGTTGGAAGAGGGTGTGGCACAACATCTAAAAACCTTTTCACAGAGAATGAATTTATCACAACAGGCCTCAAACCGAGCAATAGGCTTTATGCCGTGCGTCACGTGACCAAACCGGAAAACGGGTCTCATCGCATCCGCTTGTCAGAGAAAGTGTTAACGGCCGTAAGAACTGACAACGATATCTATGGATATTTAAAGGGTTAGTTCACCCAAAAATGAAAATTAAGTCATTAATTACTCACCCCCATGCTGTACCAACCCCGTAAGACCTTCGTTCGTCTTCGGAACACAAATGAAGATATTTTTGATTAAATTTGAGAGCTGTATAACTACCACATTGGCTCCTAAGGGACTGCCTCTTGACGGCCCAGAAAGTCAATGAAGAAAATGTTTAAATATCCCAAGTGACTACCGTGGCTCAACTATATGTTTATCAAGCGACGCGAATACTTTTTGTGCGAAAAAACAAACAAAAATAACGAGTTTATTCGACTATTTCTTTTCTTCCTTGTAGGCCAGAAACGAGACTTCCTTAGATTTCCACGACGCATGCGCGAGAATTGCGATCTGCTTACACCAGCTTACACTACTTCAGATCGCAATTCTCGCGCATGCGTCGTGGAAATCTAAGGAAGTCTCGTTCTGGCCTACAAGGAAGAAAAGAAATAGTCGAATAAACTCGTTATTTTTGTTTGTTTTTTCGCACAAAAAGTATTCGCGTCGCTTGATAAACATATAGTTGAGCCACGGTAGTCACTTGGGATATTTAAACACTTTCTTCATTGACTTTCTGGGCCGTCAAGAGGCAGTCCCTTAGGAGCCAATGTGGTAGTTATACAGCTCTCAAATTTAATCAAAAATATCTTTATTTGTGTTCCGAAGACGAACGAAGGTCTTACGGGGTTGGTACAGCATGGGGGTGAGTAATTAATGACTTAATTTTCATTTTTGGGTGAACTAACCCTTTAAGGTAATCAGCTAACCTAACTAGTTCACTTTGTTATTGGCGTTTTATTCCATTTAAATATCTAAACGTTACTGTGAAGAATAAAAAAATATAAAACGTTTAAATATTAATCTGCACATGTGAGGGATATTGTTTATGCTAATCTTTGCTCGCTCCTTTTAAGTTATCTTGAGTAAAACCGCAAAAGATTTCATGAAGCACATACAAAAGACCTGAACCGGAAGAAATGCGACCTGTTTTACAGAGAATGCGGAAGTAAGTTGTGCATAAAGCCTATTAAACAAACCGCTTCAGAGCAGGTGTTAAAATTCATATCGTGACTGACAAAAGCTAATTTTTTTCTTTGTGTAAGTCTTCATTTCTTTTGTTTGGTAAATAACTGACCGGTAAGACGCAATACAAAATTAGTCCTCGCCAAATGGCATATAAATGCATATGAAAACGTTATTAAATGTCTGTAACTTTATAAGGAAGTGAAGCATCTGCAGTACATTCTTTAAAAAAAGATGAGAAAATGTATAACAAATCATCACATTTTCTTAGCTTCTAACTTTTTCTTCAGTTGATAGGTTGGATTTATATGGAAGCTTGTTTATATCAGAATTGCGTGATATAAAGTCAGAATTGTGAGAAATAAACTAGTTATTCTGCATTGTTTATATCTCTCAAATCCAATTTTATAACTGAGAAATAAAGTCAGTGGCAGGAACTGCAACATTCATGTGCTATGCTATTGCATTGTTTTGATTAAAGGCTTGTTGAGAACTCTAAGCCTAATGGCAGGACTCATCCTTCTTGTCCAATGAGATTCCTCTAATGCATTTATTTTAGCCTACTAAAATCCTCCGGCTGAATCTTCTTTTCTTGCTTCTGTGAGAACGCACACATAGGAAACGAAACCCTTTCTGTCTTGCCAGAAAAAATAGAGCCAAAGAAAACAATGTGAATAGAGAAGTCGAGGCTGACTATGTTTGTAGCCTGGCATAGTCTAATTCCCATGGTGGCTGTTAAACAATGAGAGGCCGGGCGTAACCCAAGCTGCATCTGCTCTGCTCTGAAGTTTATTGGGGGCCTCAGATCAGCTGGGAGCACAAATCCTTTTATTTGGGCATTAAAGCCAAATTTGAAGAACTTTAGTGTAGTGTGTGCCTGTATAAAGCCAACTATGAATTGGTGTTTGAATTAGGTTTTATGATTAAAGTTTTTTTTATTTGCAGCTGTCGGAACTGAATAAGAACATTCCTCTTTTTACTCCATCCAACTAGTACATTTCCCCCCTGCTGTTTTCTCTGTTTTGGGGTTTTTGGAGCTCTGTTGTGGAGACATGCACTGTTGAGTGTCTTAGTATGCAAATAGATGTTAGGAGCTTATTCTTTGCGGTCAAGTTTGAGAATCTCAGTTCCTTAAATTTGCATTGAACCACTTTTTTACATATCATGACGATGACAATTTTCTTCTTCTGTTCACTTAAGGTCTCAAAAGTAAACGGAGTCACACGGGCATCATCAGCCGGCACGCACACAGCCGGTGCCAAAAAGCAGAAAGACTTCCGTCTGCCGTCCAAAACTGTGAAGTACACAGCCACCGTGACCAAGGGCCACGTCACCTACACCAAAGCAAAACGAGAACTGGTAAAGAAAGCCAAACTCAACCACAGCAAACACGCTGTTTCGGCTGGCCTCCGTGCTTACAGCAACAACCACCAACATCATTCTCATCTTTCAACCAGCAACGGCCATGGCCGGCCTCAGCTCTCTCACTCAGGAAAAGCCAAAAGTATCAATGCAAAAACCCGCAAACAGGTGCTATTATCGAACGGGGTGCATAACGGTGGCCGGCTTAACGGCAGGCTTAATGGACGCCACAGTGCCAGGGAAGAGGAGGAAGATGGCCGACAACTGCGGCAGGGACTGCGGAACTCGAAACGCAGGAGTGACGCCATTACGGTCCTTGGAGCTGGAACTGAGAGCGACGAGGCTAAAACTAAGCTGCCTGTGAATGAGGTTAAGAAAGCTAAGCTGCAGACTAGCCCACTGGAAACTCGCAGCAAGAAGGCCCTGAATCAGTTCAAGCTCCCCAACACTGTCACTATTGCACATAGTATCACTGAAATGGCTGCCTCCCCTACTCAGAAAACGGGTTCTGCCCCTCCTCAATCTCCCCCTGCTGCTCCTGCTTCCCCAGGCATGCCCCAGAACCCTGCGACCCCTGAGCCGGCACGCCAGCGGCCCAAGCGTGCCTCTGCTGGCAAACTGATGTTCATCAGACAAGCACAGCAGAGGGCCCAAACTAACCCCGCCCTCAATCGGACCACATCCACTACCTCAGCCAGCAAGTCCTTCAAACCAGCAGAGCCCACGCACGCACCTCCGACACGGCCGGACAGGGAGCGCGAAAGGAACAAGGCAGGGTGGGCGACCCTGGGGGAGGAGGTGCCCATTTTTAAGCCCAGCTCCAGAGAGTTCCAGGACCCTTTGATTTATCTCGACTCGGTACGGGAACGGGCCGAGTCGTGTGGACTGTGCAGAGTGCTGCCGCCTCCTGACTGGAGGCCGGAGTGCAAACTCAACGACGAGATGCGTTTTGTGACGCAGGTTCAGCGCATCCACAAGCTGGGTCGGCGCTGGGGCCCCAATGTTCAGAAACTGGCCTGCATTAAGAAGCACCTCAAATCTCAGGGCATCTCAATGGACGAGCCGCCTCTTATAGGTGAGTCCCTTTCTTTTGGATCTTTTGAACACTGCTTCGTTGTCGGTATAAGCCAGAGTTCCTCAAATCCGGCCCTGGATGGCCGCAGATTTTAGTTCCATGCCTAAGTAAACACACCTGAACAATTGAATCAGGGTAGCTTGAAAAGGTAATTATTTCGATAGTCCCTTTTAGGCATTCTACTAACTATAAGTAACTTTTCAACTACATGTCAACTAGCTGTCAGTACAAGTAGACTGTCAACTTAAAGGATAATTCCGGTATTTAACACCTTGAGTCTATTTTGTAGTTTGTTTTGAATGAAATAGAGTGGTGGACTTAGAAATTTTGACAATGGGTCCTGTCTCGACTTTTTGACTTTTTTAGAATCGCCTGTGACAGCGTTAGACTGGGTGTCTATGGGCATGCACAAACCCGTCCATAAAACAACCCTTAACGTTCATTTTCAAAACTGTGCAACTCACCGAGTGGTTGGTGGTGTTCGCTGATGATTAAAAACAAATATATCGGCGCAATGTATGCTTTCAATCCGTGTTGTTTGCTATTGTGGAACTATTTTTTCAGATACCAACCGCGTATAAACTTCCGCTCGATATTTGAGTCTGAAGCGTTAGCACACTCCCGACCACTTGATGGCGACAACCAGGACGCTGTACGGAACACGGTGTCTAGCGCACCGTAAAAAAAGTCCCTGCTCACGCTAGCCTTCTGAGCGAAAAGACTACAACCAAATGTAAACAGACCCCTTTCCTTTTCCGGTAGCTAGCGCAGTAATATCAACGAGCACTGAGTCCTCCAGCAGACATCAATGCGATTTAAAAAAATTGCAAATAAAACACGACAGAAACGGTATTTCGCTACGCTACTTGTTTCAGAACATCAACGAACACCACCAACCACTCGGTGAGTTGCACAGTTTTGAAAATGAACGTTAAGGGTTGTTTTAAGGACATGTTTGTGCATGCCCATAGACACCCAGTCTAACGCTGTCACAGGCGATTCTAAAAAAGTCAAAAAGTCGAGACAGGACCCAATGTCAAAATTTCTACGTCCACCACTCTATTTCATTCAAAACAAACAACAAAATCGACGTCGAAGGCGTTAAATACCGGAATTATCCTTTAATATCTGCTAACACTTTATTTTGTTGTAGCTTGGCGACTATAAGTAAACTTATTCTCCTAACCCAAAGCCTAACACCTAACCATAACCTAACAGTCTACTACAATTAACTAATACTCTATTGAGAGTTACTTGACATGTAGTTGAAAAGTTACTTATAATTAGTAGAACGTCCAAAGTGACTATCGAAATAAAGTGTAACCTTTGAAAATTGCTCATTTCTCCAGAACTTTTCCAGCACCGTGACAAGGTTTTAAAACAGCTTTGAGCCATTGCTTTGCTTCAGAATTCTGTTTGAGGATCCAGTCTGAATACATGGGATGAAATAAATGTTTAGCGAGCTTGCTAGAATGCTGCAATAATTCCTTTCCTTTGATTCCTTTTAAACGTAGTTTTTGACCTCTTTTGGTGCTCACTTTCTCCAGTCATTATGTTTCAAAAGACAAATAAAGATGTGTCACCATTTTTCCTTCAACATATTTAGAGAATTAATGAGCTGTGAAATTAAATGAATTCTGGAGCTGTCAATACTCATTCGGCAGCAAATGATTCAGTGGGTCAGGTGCAGAGTTATGTTTGGAAACGATACATTAACTGTTAATATACACTTCGAACTAAAAATGCTGGGTTGTTTTAACCCAATTTTGGGTCAAATATGGACAAACTCGAATGTAATTTAAAAATGTAACCCAATGGCTGGTTTTGACCCAAAATTGCGTTCAACATTAACATTAGTTTCTTCCCGCTCTGTCGCTCCTTTAGGCGGCTGTGAAGTAGACCTGGCTCGTTTTTCTGAGCTTGTTTGCGACATGGGTGGAATGCAGCAGGTTATGGACCTGAAAAAATGGAGCCGGTTGGCAGACCTGCTTCGCATTCCCAAATCAGCACAGGATCGTCTGGCCAAGCTCCAGGAGGCTTACCTCCAGTACCTGCTCTCTTACGACCTGCTCTCTCCCGATGAGCACCGTCAACTGGAGCAAGAGGTTCTGGGAGAAAAGGAGCTTCTAGAACGCAAGCGGGGACCCCTGGAGGGCCACTCGGATAGCGGCCAGCGGTCTCTGGTTCTTCCCCGTTTCGAACCCAAGAATGGACTCACCGGCCTTAACCACCGCAACGGTTTCCACAATCACAACAAAGAGCCAGACGCCCAGCGGCAGGCCGGCCGACGCAGACTGTTTGCTCAGGAAAAGAAAGGGGGAAAAGTGGACAGTGAGGAGGCAAAAGTGGAAGAAGAGGAAGGTGTTCTCAGTGACCAGCACAAATGTATATACAAGGTAAAAGAGGCACATATAGCGAGAATAGCTCATCTGCAAGCTAACGTTATTGTTTCCTTTCTGAAACGGCAATAATATGTGTCAAACTTGTTTTATTCACTTTATTCAGTCAGTCAGACTAGCAGATGTGCCATTTCCTCAGGTAATGAAGTGTTTAGAGAGAGCACCACCGAGCTGCCAGAGAACGTGCCAGAATATCAAGCCTGATGACTATGTTTGTCTGTAAACTGAACACAGTGCCACACCGCTGGGAATAAAGGAGCAAGGCTTAATATGCGATGTGTTTTGGGTTTCGATGCTGCCGATGTTGTGATGGATGTGTCTCTGCATCAAAGATCTAAGCTTTATTTCAGAGCCATGTATTATTTTTTGACTTGCTAAGCCACCAGTATGAGCATCTGTTTTGTTCCTCAGACAGATTTACAGGTACAAAACACTGTGGATATTTTTCAAACTTTAGTGAGCTGCCTGCCTAGGCAATATTTTAGATGTGCACCCGAATTGAAGTTAAATTATGGTGCTTAGAGATCTCATTCTGGCCAAAATGAGTCCCAGCAGTGTAGGCTATGCACGCTTTTTTTCTTTCGTGTTTTTTTTTTTTTTTACAATTATCTGCCAAGACTTTTCCTCGGTACAAAAACATGTCAATAGAAAATCGTTCCGTCTAATTTAAAACACAATTTCACCCAGCAACTGTGCTGCATTTGTTTTTATTAGAGAGTATCAAGTTAGCTTAGCAACATGCTAGCATCTGACTGCATTGAGATAGACCACGGGCACTTCTCATGCGCTCTTCAACACTGTAGATATTTTTCAAACTTTAGTGAACTGCCTGCCTAGGCAATATTTTAGATGTGCTCCTGAATTGAAGCTAAATTATGGTGCTTAGAGATCTCATTCTGGCCAAAATGAGTCCTAGCAGTGTAGGCTATGCACGCATTTTTTCTTTTGTTTTTTTTTTGTTTGTTTTTTTAACAATTATCTGCCAAGACTTTTCCTCGGTACAAAAACATGTCAATAGAAAATCGTTCCATCGAATTTAAAACACAATTTCACCCAGCAACTGTGCATGCTGTGCATTTGTTTTTATTAGAGAGTATCAAGTTAGCTTAGCAACATGCTAGCATCTGACTGCATTAAGATAGACCTGTGTAAGGCGCTTCTCATGCGCTCTTCAACCACAGCAAAAAAAAAAAAAAAAAAAAAAAAAAAACCTACAGTAGATTTCTCAGTTGCTGCCTAGTCTAGTATGCTGTGTTTAAAGTCAGTCACTCATGAGGTTTCGTTTCATTTTGGTTTGCATGCTGCTCTAGAAGGTAGCTTGCTAATGTAGAAAGTGATTATGGGGCAGAACTAGTGTGGTTCTTGGACTGGTGGTTAAAGAAAGGGAGAACTATAACTGTGGGTGGGTGGGTATCGGTGAGAGTGTCTGTTTTGTGAGAGGGCTTGTTCCCAGGCCCTCAGCTCCTGGTGAACGTGAGGCTGAGTTCTTAGCCATAGTCGATGTAAGGTGACTCCGTCTGCCTCTCTAGCCCTATAAAAAAACCCTGCTGACTCTGTCTGTCTGTCTGTGAGTTGTTGTCTGAGGTAACACTCTCTACTGGGCGATACTGAGAGAGTGGGTCTTTTTACAGAAAGGTGCCTGAATATAGGTCAGAGCTCAGCTTCACACACACACATAGCACTTTGTTCATCTCCAGTGCGGTACCTGGCAATTGTCTTTTGTCTATAGTTATCTGTGTTGTCATGCGGTCGGAGAGTGAGGTTTTTTTTCTTTTCTCACTTGTGTGTGTAGTGCTTGAGGAAATAGACAACGTGTATAAAAATGAATGAGTAAACTGCAACTCTTAATTTGATATCTATGTATAGGAAGGAAATGCCTTTAAAGTAAAGTATGTCAAAAAGCACATAATGTGCGTTTAGCTGGACTGACATATAAAGAACAGGCAATTGAATCGTAAGCTTGTTTTTACCAATTTGACAGACAGAGCTTGTCACAGATTATTTTTTGCAACTGTGTACTGTTATTTATTTATTTATTTTTTTTGTTACAGGGGAGATCGGTATCTTTGACCACCTTTTACAGAATAGCAAGAAATACTATGATGATGTGCTTCAACAAAGAGCCTGGGGCTGCTGAAGTTGAGGTACACATATACTTCCTGTATTTTAACCATTCACCAGATAAATGTGTACAGGTTTCGTATGTTACTTTTATTACCAGTGTAAAATGTTGATTCTGATCCCCATAGGTGACAAATATCCATGCTAGAAAATATATATATATATATATATTAAAGAGACCGTGGGGTGGGTGGGAGGGATTGGTAGATAGGTTGTTGTTTGTTCTGTTTCTTTTTGGTGTGTTTATTGTCAAAATTTAAAACCTAATAAATAAAATATATATATATATATATTTTTTTTTTTTTTCGGGGGGGGGGGGGGATATGTAATAATTTGATTTAATAATAAGTAAAAAATAAGTTTGTTTACATAATATATGTGGGTTCACTGTGTATAATTATATATATATACACACACATACTTGTATATATTAAGAAATATTTTCATTTATATACTGTATATAGATTTGTATATATAAAAATATAAATATTTTATATATAAATAATATTTTTTTCTTAAATATACGTGCATGTGTGTGTATTTACATATATATATATATATACAAAATAATTCTACACAGTGCACCCACATATATTATGCAAACACAAACTTTTATTTTGGATGCGATTAATCGTTTGACAGCCCTAATAAAAATAATAATAATAATAATAATAATAATAGATGTTCTATTACTAATCTATCTTTAAATAGCATGCACTTCCCATGTTGGATATTTTATAAGCATGTCCCATGACAGCTGCATCCTTGTTTTCTGTCATATTTCCTTGTTACCTTCATCCTGCCATTTCTCTTTATCTCCATCTGTCCTGGTTTTCTTTATATAGCAAGATTACTGGCGGATAGTGGAGCAGAGGGACTGCCATGTAGCAGTGCATTATGGGAAAGTGGACACAAACACACATGGAAGCGGCTTCCCTGTGGGCAAGTCTGAACCCTTCTCCAAGTAAGCATTGCATTTATTTGAGATGAATTAGCAGGCATGATGGGAAGATGTATTACTGTTTATAAGAATGAGACTACCGTAATCTCTATTTCTCTCCGTCGCTGCAGGCATGGATGGAACCTCACTGTCCTTCCCAATAACTCTGGATCCATTCTGCGCCATCTTGGTGCTGTGCCTGGTGAGTTCACTATTGTCATCTGTAGCAGGAAGTACACTTCTCCCCACATCATATAAAGTTCCTTTGTTGAATAAGTCATCACCCCCTCTCTATCTGTCTTTCTCTTGTTCAGGGGTGACTATTCCCTGGCTGAACATCGGCATGGTCTTTTCTACCTCATGCTGGTCGCAAGACCAAAACCGCCTTCCATACATTGATTACTTACACACTGGTGCTGATTGCATTTGGTAAGGTTCAAATTATTGGAACTGAATATTTGTTAGATTATGTTCGTATCAACAGCAGATTAATAAACAAAAAAATACTGTCTAAATAAGTGAAGTCTTTGATTAAAAATAAAGTACTAACAAAATATCATAGAATACTTATTTATATTATTAAATTAATCATTTACATTATTATGATCTATATAATTATCGTGTGTGTGTGTGTGTGTGTATAAACATTTTATGTAAAAATATAGTAACATGAACAGTTTATACACTGTCAGCAATATACAATTTATATATATATATATATATATATATATATATATAATAAAAGAAGAAATTGCGGACACAATGTATATATGGGTCATGTTACTCTGGTTTTACACCTTAAAATGTTTTATTATATAATTAATTGTTATTTTAACAATGCAAATATTTTTTTAATTTTTGTAATTAAAAAATCTGAAAATATTTCATAATATAATATAACAGAACACTACAATTTACATTGTCCTGTTGTATACAATTGTTTTGAGTGAATTTGAATTCTTTTGAAACATATATTTAGATGCATTAAATAGTGATTTAATATTTATCTACTATTATAGTATTTATTCATAATAATTTATTTAGTTTATAGTTTGAGTTCACTTCTGTTTGTATATTTATTTGTATAGCTATTTACCTTTTTTCTAAATGTGTATTTTTTTCTACATAGCTTTTGTTTAATATTGTTATGCAAATTTAATTTATTTTTATTTCAGTTTAGTGATTTTAGTAATTTAACTTTTTTTTACACTGATAATCAGTGTAAAAGTGTAATGTTCTTTCCTTACTCCGCTGTATTATAATGTTCCACCTCTAGAGGGTGCTGTACTCTTTTAAACGCATCATTTATCACTGTGTGCATTCCACTCAGACTAGTGTCAGCTGTGGTTTTGCTTTTGTTTTGTTTTTTACATCATGTATGACTCAATATGGCAACAAAGCTGGTTTAGGAGCCAGCAGACAGGGCTGTCGTGTTATGTCATCCAAACATTGGCACTAACAGGAAATTTTGCCTGTCCCATTACAGGTATTCTATTCCTGCTGAGGAAAAGACAAAGCTTGATAAAGTGGTGCATACACTGCTACAGGCCAACGGCACGCCGGGACTGGAAATGCTGGAGAAGAATGTTATGGTAAGATATTGTGAAGAAAAATAACTTCCTTTTTGCTGAGTCTGCTGACATTGCCTATTGAATGTAATGCTCTCTTGTACAAAGAACTTAGGAGTGTGTATTTCTCCAGATTTCTCCGGAGGTGCTTTGTCGCGAGGGGATAAAGGTCCACCGTACGGTCCAGCAGAGCGGGCAGTTCGTGGTGATCTTCCCCGGTGCGTTCGTGTCCAGGGTGTGCTGTGGCTACAGTGTGTCTGAAACTGTGCACTTTGCCACACCACAGTGGATGAACCTGGGCTATGAGGCTGCTAAGGTGAGGCATTTTCACATTTTCCACATCCACCTGCAGGACAACATATAGACGTATACGAGATGTTAAGAGCACTTCTCTCGCAGGACCTGAAATGCAGGCACATAGCAAAACCCTTCTCCATGGAGAAGCTCCTCTACCAGATCGCCACAGCCGAGGCCAAACGAGAAAACAGACTTGTGCTTGGTACAATCTCTTCTCTTTTAAAAGATCTCAGGTGAGCACTGCAATCCCATCCTGATGTGGAAACGGCCAAGTCATGATTTTTCCGAAAGTACCTCTATATATATATATTATATAAATATAGGATGTTTTTATTTTGTGTGGAAAAACTGTGTTCCTGTTTGAGCTTGAAAAGGGTCTGCTAAATTACAATGCACAGTCACTCCAATGGGGGAGCAGCCACTCCAACTCCAATTGGAGGGACTGTTATCAGTAAACGCTGTTTCTGAACTCCCAGAAATGCTCAATTGTAGTCTTGAGTTTTCTTCCGGAAATGTACACATCATAATATTCCTCATTTAAATAATTCCCACCCAAAACATGCACACAAAAAAAAGGGACGAGACCTGGTTGAGTTGCATAAGTGGTTTGTTGAAACTTGCGGTTATGGTAAGGGGTGTGACATTTCCAGAGATGTATAGTAACAAAGTAGAACTACTTAAAGGTGTAGTTCACTTTTAAAAAAAACTTTTGCTGATAATTTACTCACAAGACGGTCCAAAAGACAGTTTCAGTGCAAACTGTTCAAAGGGCTTTAAACGATTCCAGACGATGAATAAGGGTCTTATCAAGCGAAACGATCACTCATTTAAAATAAAACAACAACAATGTTTAAGTTTTATAAGCTCAAATGGTCGCCTTGCTCGGTTCTGTGTGACTCCTGTTCGAACTCATTCATCAAAATGAACAAATCTCTTCCCACGTCAACTCGTTCATTTCGTTCTTTGAATGAACCAAATGACTTGAAAAAAGATTTGTTCATTTTGATAAATGAGTTCGAAAAGGAGAGTCATGAACGTGCATCACAGAATAGAGCAAGGCGAGCATTTGAGCTTATAAAACTCAAACTTTTTGATTTATTTTTTAAATGAGCGATCGTTTCGCTTGATAAGACCCTTATTCATTGTCTGAAATTGTTTAAAGCCCTTTGAACAGTTTGCAGTTTGCACTGAAACTGTCTTTTGGACCTTGAATCGTTTGGTTCCCATTGAAGTCCATTATATGGAGAAAAATCCTGGAATGTTTTCATCAAAAACCTTAATTTCTTTTCGACTGAAGAGAGAAAGACATGGACATCTTGGATGACATGGGGGTGAGTAAATTATCAGCAAAAGTTTTTTTTAAAAGTGAACTACTCCTTTAAGTAATGTTCTCAAGTACTAAAATGCTGTATCTGTACTCTACTAGAGTATTGTTTTTTCTCATACTTCTACTTTTACTTCAGTAGATATTTTCAATTAATTTAATACTTTTACTTCAATGTTTTTTTTAATGTTCTGCTAGTTACTCGTTACAATTGTAAAAGTTTTACGAATCATTTGTTGCAAGTTGGCTTTCATGCTGCCTAAATCACACACCAGTTTTATAGGATAATGGTATTGATTGACACACATTGACAACTAACGCAGGGGTTGTCCTGCAATGACATTTTTTTTGGCGGCTGCCGAAGCAAATTTGTATCCCGCCAAAGCGCCTTATTTGATTGCTAGTTCAAACTTTTGACTGCTTTCTTTAATAATTGCATGACACAATACTTGTACTTTTACTTTTAGTACTTAAGTAGTGAATTTTAAAATAAACTACTTGCAATACTTAAGTACAAAAAATGTTGAATACTTTAGTACTTCTATTTAAGTGTGGTGCTTAAAGAGCACTTCAACTTCTACTCAAGTCACTTTTTTGATAGAGCACTTGTACTTTTACTCAAGTCCGGATTTCTAGTACTTTATACATCTCTGGACATTTCTGAAACATGCTTGGAACGGCATGTTTATACTGAATAGCAATCACAAACTGGTCCAGCCGACCAATAAGAGCACATTGCACTGTTCAGAAGGAGGGGATTCATAGAGACAGAAACTAAACCGAGAGATACAGACAGACTGGGAAGAGAGGTGTTGCAATGTAAAACATACTGTGTGTATATATATATATATATATATATATATATATATATATATATATGAAGAGTTCAGATGCAAAAGCCTCTAAGTCAAGTCACATTTATTTATATAGCGCTTTTCACAATACAGATTGTTTTAAAGCAGCTTCACAGTGATGCTTTGTGCCATTTGAAATTTTCTTCTAGAATGATCATTTTTATCAAGCTTGTATATTTAAGTTCAGTGATTTCACTTAAATGACAATGATAATTACCTATTAATTGTTATTTAAGTGAAATTACTGAACTTATCATCATTAAAGAAGAAAATTTCAAATGGCATTTAGAGGCTTTTGCATCTGAACTCTTCATATACGTATATATATACACACACACACACACGTTAATGCATGCGATACATTTTCGTCCAGTTTAACTCGTTAGAATATCTAAAGCAATTACCGCAGCATCCATATTTTCTGTCATCCTTTGGCTAGCATTACATGATGCAAATGTTTTAAACAATTCAAGCACAATACAAAAGAGAACGCGCTGTATGCAACACACACACGACACACAGAAAGTATAGCACCAGTATTGTGCGTGCGCACAGACAGCGCACCAGAATCGAGTTCGCTTTCACACTTGAATGAAAAATAACACAAAAAAATTCTGTTTTATCGACTCTCCTCATAAGAGCAGTGTTAAATGAGCTCAAGTAAGTCTTAAATGAGCGTAACGAGTTCCACGTGAGATCTGCGTCTCTGTCGGCAACGGCAGGTCTTAAAGTGACAGCAGCCACTAATTCTGTCAGTAAATTATTCTCTGCTTACGCGCCGCTATTGTCTAGCTTTATTTATGATGTGTTTGTTCATGTTTGATAACTTTATTCAATTTCTTATGTCCTACTTGTTAGACCGGTAGAAAGGGCACAGGTAAATATGACATTTATTATGGGTTTATGTGAAGATTGTTCACTGAAATTAAAAGAACTTAGGCTTTGTCATATATTTTTGAAGCCTAATGTAAAAAAAAAGAAAAGATATCTTTCCATCACACTGTAACGTTGAATGGCTGTTATTGATGTTTAAGATGTTTCACGACATTTTCACGAGACATCAGTAGCTGTATTAGGGACTTCATTCATAAAAAGATGCCATTACGCATTTATATCATTCAAGCATGAAAACCTATTCTAGTTGACTTTGTAAAAGGGCATAATACGGCCTTGTTAAACATTATAACCAATGAAAGATGAAGAGAGTGTGCTGGTGTCCCACAGGAACATAGAGATGAAGCAAAGGCAGGAGCTGTATGAAGCAGGGCTGCTTTCCTCCGCACGCTACTGCACTCACGACAACAACCAATCGCCCGCTGACACCAGGAAGAAACCACGCAAGTGGCTGGCGCTGGAGTCGTCCGAGAGACGCTGCCAAACGTGCCAGCACCTCTGCTACTTATCTATGGTGAGATTCGGTTAAGCTCAGTGTAGCAAACTAAGGCTCTGACTCCTGAATTTGAATGTTTGTTTTGTGTTTTAGAAGTTGAAACCATCACAAACTCCCAGATTAGTCCATATAATCAAGCCCAAAAACTTCCATCATAGTGTACTGTATCATCTTGGCACATTTGACAGCCCAATTGATCTGGGATGCATTACTTAATTTCTCATACGCTATTTAAACTGTAAAAAAAAAAAAATTCACATTTTTTCTTTTGTCAAATCAACTTAAATAATTTATTATTTTAAGTTTATTATTATTATTTTATTATTTAAAGTTTTTTATTATTATTATTTTGAGTTTCTAATGATTAAATCAATCTCCTTCATTGTATTAACTCACTTTTTCCGGTTCAATCAACTTAAAATTTTAAGGCAACTAGGTTACTTACTTTTTTAAGTTAAACCAGCAATATTTTTTTACAGTGTAGAATCAATAGTAATCTTATTGGGTCGTAGTGTAAAAACTATACTGTACTTTAGCAGTCAGTACAATCTATACTATGATAATATTAAGGTCCTGTCCCAAATGGATCCCTAAACACTCGCAGCCTTCCTATGACCTGCACTTTCGGAAAGACACCTAAATTGACAAATGGGATACCCAACGGTCTCATGGACTCTCAATGGACATCCGCAATCGGCAGCCTTTGCAAGTCCACAAAACCGAAACTGCGTATGAAGTCTGCCATTTGGGACAGGGCCCAATACTTTAGCGCTCTGTACGTCATACCAGTCGTTCTCAACCAGAAATTTTCATTTTAAATGATTAAAAATAAGACTAAACAAACTTTCAAATTAGCTAAAACATCTCAAATGCAATGTAAAGAGTGTTCCCTCTACAACTATCATTTTGGTTCTCAAGATCTTGGAAAAAGCCTATGAGGAATTTTTAAAAGGGAGATTTCTAAACCGTGTAAATGAATAAAACTGTCTAAAGGCATGGGCAATTTTATAATAATGAATATAGATTTGTTCAGTTAGATGGTTTGTTGAGTTCTGATTATAGATTAGAATTTGCTCAAATTAAAATGAGCAGTTTTGTCATTAATAATTAATGTCATTTAAAGGTTTGTTCGATTATTTTTTCTTTGTATAACGCTATTTTAATTGTCATAGTAGTATATTTGTCAATGTAGTTTTTTGTTGAACAATAGTTCAGTCATAACTGTAATTTACTTCCAATGCTGATCATTCACTTTCAGTTGAATTTACTGAGAGTTTAAGTTATGATCTTAATGTAGCGAATGGTTGTTAATTCTGCAGGTGGTGCAGGAGAATGAAAATGTTGTTTTCTGTCTGGAGTGTGCGCTACGCTATGTGGAGAGAAACAAAAGCTGCCGCGGCCTCAAGATGATGTACCGCTACGATGAGGTAAGACACATGCACACCTGCAGGGGGCGCTGTTATCATGCTTTTGCTTAGAGGACCCTCAAGTGTTCAACAACCCTTCTAACTCTACCCTTCATAAAACGTTGTGCTCTAGCAAACGCTAGCAACACACGCTTGGGGAAACATTACCACAAATCTGATGCGAGCTCATATATTTTCCACATGCAAATGAGCTTCAGTGGATTCAGTGTTCTGTTACAGTTTTTTTTTAATCACTGTTGTTTTGTTTTCCTCCTTAAAAAAATATGTTTAGATCTCTTTACAATAAGTTTATTGCTCACACCAGATTTGCTTTTCCTATTCATTTTAGCACATGTGTGCAAAAGAGTACAATATGTGCAAATGTCTACAATTTGTCTTCAATGTCTAAACGGTTTGCAGTTGTCATAGCTCTTCACAACTTCCAAAGTCCTTTATTGTAAGAGCGATCGCAAACTATAAACAAAAAATAGAAAATACGTGCTCTCTTTCTCTTCATCCTTGTCCTGCTTATTGCATGAATAATGCAATACGATGACCTGCTTATTATTTTAGTGTCCTCCATGTTTACACCTATGACACCGTGTTGCGCCATCTTGTTATTGTTCTTTTGCACTTGTGTGTCAGTTCAGGACCTTGATCCATTCACGCTAGAATCTGAAGGGTTAGTTCACCCAAAAATGACCCCGTAAGACCTTCGTTCGTCTTCGGAAGTCAAATGAAGATATTTTTGATTAAATTTGAGAGGTGGATCACTGCTACATAGGCTCCTAAGGGATTCAAACTTGACAAGTCATTGAAGAAAATGTTTAAATTAGGGCTGTTGAAACGAATTCCAAAATTCGAATATAATTCGAATATTTAAAAAAAAAACCAATACTATTCGAATATTGCTTTTATATATATTTAAAAATATATATATACTTCCGAAGTGACCAGGTGTAAACGGTCCCTTAGATCGCTTTCTTATTAACAATAGGAGAGCGCGGGACTAGCTTTCGCGTGGCACATTCGCAAGGTCTCGTTCACTCCCTCTCTGCCATGCACGCGGCGCGCGCTATGTGCGGAACTTCCGACGCGATATGACGACGCTACTGCGACACGCATCACCTCAGATGAGCAGCTGAGCCCATTCATCAAGCCAACGCGCCGCAATCTATCGCAAATCAAAGTGAAAGTAAGTCGCAGATGCTTAACACTACCATCTTCATTAAAAGTAAAGAAACGAAATGATCTTACCAGGGCTGTTGCCGCTCTCTCTTATTGCTGCCTTTGAAATTAGCCGATGATCAATAAAATGCAGCTCATGTCTGTTGCTTTCGGTGACGTGCACTTCATGAAATCTGTATATAGCGCAGGAATTGAAGATCGGATTAATATCCGTTTGACTATTGGCATTGTGTAATGTCGTAAATATTACTAATAGGATAAATTTGAGCATTTAATATTCGAATATTACATAAAATAAGGAATGGAATTCGAATAGTATTATAGAGGAAGATTGACAGCCCTAGTTTAAATATTCCATGTGACAACAGTGGCTCAAGTATAGGTTTATCAAGCGACGAGAATACTTTTGTGCGAAAAAAACAAACAAAAATAACGACTCTATTTCTTCCTTGTAGGCCCGAGACGAGAGTTCAAGAGATTTCCACGACGCATGCGCGAGAACTGAACTGAAGTGGTTGAAGATCGCAATTCTCGCGTATGTGTCGTGGAAATCTCTTGAACTCACAAAACTATTTACGTCGCTTGATTAATTTATACTTGAGCCACTGTAGTCACATGGAATATTTAAACATTTTCTTCAATGACTTTCTGTCAAGTTTCGATCCCTTAGGAGCCTATGTAGCGGTGATCCACCTCACAAATTGAATCAAAAATATCTTCATTTGTGTTCCGAAGACGAACGAACGTCTTATGGGGTTGGTGCAGCATGGGAGTGTGTAATCGAAGTGAACTAACCCTTTAAAAAACAATACATCAGCAATAGATCAGGATTGAGCAGGTTTTTCACCATGGTCTCCCGTGTTTGTCCCTCAGGAGCAGATCAACAGTTTGGTGAATCAGGTGTGCGGTAAAGCCGTGGTGAGAAGCGTGGCAGACGGCTGTAACGGCTCCAGCCCCACCAAACTTCCAGGCAAGCGCGGCCCCCGCAAGAGAGCCACAGTGGAGCTGTCCCTGACCCACCTGTCCAAAAGTGCCGCCGCTGCCGTCTCGTGAGAAACGCCACCCGGTTGCCTACGTCAAACAATCCATTTTCCCTCTCCCGTTTGATTTCTGTCTCTCATCACCCTCATAGCAGGGCAGAGTTTCCTGTGTTGAAAGCAGGCTGCCTTTTTTTGCACTAGCGCACTAGTTTTTATTCACCAGATGTTTGATAGCATTAAGAGACATGGTCCCAGGTGTGCATTTCACTGACAGGTGTGAGTATGATGTCATCTTTCCTGCCTGGACCCTCTTCCCCCTCGCCTCCGGCCCCATTGACTGCACACATGCTCCTCCTGAACTGTGAACCTTGGGACAAAATGGGTGCTTCTCTCCTCAATTGTCCTGGCCCCTTTCCTTTGAATGTTGGTGCTTGATGGAGCTGCCCAAGAATGTTTTGTTCGCTTTTATGACATTTGATTTCAATTCATTTACTCCCCATGCAGCTCCTCTGCGGAAGACGCAGCTCTAAAGATGGTAAACACTTGAAATTTGTCTTGTTTTAATGTGTTTTTTTTAAGAGGAAGTACTGTTGTATTTTTATTTTATCTGCTTTTCATTTCACACTTTCCTCTGTGGATTCGGGGAACGGTGGTTTCCATGGCAGCGGGTCGGGCTGTACTTGAGGAAGTGGGTGTTTGGGAATGAACGAGTGGGTCCGGTCCCGGTAGTGAGAGGGGTTCCTCCCACGCTGACGCTTACGAGCGATAACTGTGCCTGATGTTTAGCGGGGAGATCTTTCTTTATTTTTGGTGCTTTTTTTTTTTTTCGTTTCCTTTTATTGTATATCAATACAAAAAGGTAATAAGAAAGAAGTGCTGTCCGCTAGCCTTCTTATCCCACAGGACGGAAGAGCCCAGCGGCTTTTTCCGCTTCTAGATGTGCAATCGTGTCAACATTCCATTCTTCCAGACTTTCATCTGTACCAGTTAACATTAATTATTATATTATATTATTGTAATTATTATATTTTGTGTTTTTGCCTTTTTATTTGATCTTTTGTTCTTATGTGCTATCTCAAATTAGAGCCACTATTCAGAGGGTGTAAAATGTGAAATGCAAGTCCAAGTTTTTTTAGTTTTTTGTTGTTGTTATTATTGTTGTCTCTTCATTTTTTTGCGGAAGTATCATTGATTTAAAGAAACTTAAGAAAATCACCTTTTGTACATAATCCTGTAAATGTCTTTAATACTTGAGCCTTTGTTGGAGTGACGGAAGGAAAGGATAGATAGATGGATGATGTCAGATGAAGAAAAGCCTTACATTTCAGTTTCTTCAGCTGTGGGAGTTTGATGCATACAGGGTTGCTCTGGTAATGTGTATACATTTTAAGTGCTGCTTACATCACTGAGGACTAAGATAAGGAGTCGCGATTTCCCCCTAGTTTTCTTTTTTAGGTTTACTTTTTTAAAGAAAAGGGAAAATACTTTCACAAAAAAAAAAGAAAAAGAAAAAAGGTTTTTACATTTTCATTACTGAAAATTCAACATTGTAGTAGCTACTCATGTTGCACTGAGCTTGCCAGTGGTGACTGTCAAGAAAAGAAAAAGAAAAAAACTATAATTCAGTTTGTTGGTTGTTGTCCTTAACAGAAGACTGAACTGTTTTAGGAGTATTTAATGAAAACCAAGTCTGGTGTTTTCAACAAAAAAATGGCGGTTGTCAAGTTTTTATGGCCTTACAATGTATTTTACTCAGAATTTTTTGCTGTTTTTGGTTCCTTTTTCTACAATATGAGAGGTTTGCTCACGGTCCGACGAGTTAATTTATTAGCACTGCGTCTCAGCTATTCCTCTCACGAGGAAAGATTTCATGTTGGTTATATTGCCAGTTTTATTTTGTTTTTATTTTGTTTTTTACTTTTTCAATTTGTACTTAAGGTTTAATAAAAACTCATGGACAATTCACTGTCAATGTCTCTTCATTACTGGTTTAAAGAGGAATGTTTTCTTTGTATACATTTCTAATAAAATGATTTTACTGATTAACCACATTTAAATATTCATTTTACAAATGACAGTTATTAATAATAATGTTGTTGTATATAAAAACAATTGGTAAAAAATATACTTCTTAAAAATATAAATTTTTTACTAGTATTTTACTTTTAGAAGTAGTTGTATTATTAAAAATAAAAGTAATAAAAATAATTATTCTCTTTTAAAATATTAAATCATTTTATTTTAATCATAAAATAATACTCTTGTAGAGTGCAAGCTATATAATTAGATTATAGTGTGCATTTTTTATATTGCTGTGACTGACAACAATGGCACAGAGGGGGGCAAATGGTAGACCAGCTATATGCAGAACAGAATAAAAGAGATTTATTGATTTGTGAGGGCAGGCACAGGATCGGGCTTATACTGCACAGCACACGACAAAGAACTTTTTTACAAAAACCAAAAGGGCGTCATAAAACAGATGAACAGCACTCCTGCTAATTACGTCACTTCCGCTTACAGTCTGTCATTCATCCTCCGTGTTTTCAGGATGAGCTGCTGCTCTCACAGTTCTTGATTGGCCAGTTTTGTTCTCTTTCGAGTAACCTGGCATCCTCCTCGACCTCTTCTAAATCTGGCTGGATGAGCAGAGAGCCACGGTTGGCTGCTTGTTCCCTCTCGTCATCTTCATCATCATCATCATCATCATCGTTGTACTCCTCCTCTTCCCCCGCCTCTGTGTCTTGGCTGGCCGAGTCCGTGCAAGTGGAGGACAGCGATGCGAGCTTGTGTCTCAGGTCCGCCTGTGTGGGCACCTGAAGAGTGATCTCAGTAGTGAACGACTCCACATCTGGACCTGAAAGAGAATCATTTAGACGGGAAGAACAGAAGGGATTAGAAATTCTCATTTTTTTCTTTAAAAATGAGACTGGTCTGACAACATTCAGGATTCTGGGAGACAGGAGATTTGTTACAAAACAGCACAAATTCCATTCTCCACTGTCATTAGGATATCGATGCATGAAGCTTGCTTATTCAGTGGTCATTGCCAAACCCAGTAGCTTTATACGGGTAAACCCGGAAAATGTGCATGTTAAAAGTAAAACAATGTGGGAAAACATTTGCATTATGTGTCCCTCACGCAAAATTCCTAATAGTGTAGATTCCTGATGGGATAACTGCATTTCGCCCCTGAAATCTTAGCAGTTCAAAGGTAAATGTGACCGCACAATAAAGGCCAAAATTCTTGTCGGAAATTTTCGCACGTTAAAAAATAAATACCTCAAGTTGTGTCAATCACATTTACACGCTGCCTGCGAAACTTTCGTCCAAAAAAAATCTGCGTTTTTCGCATCCGTTGCAAACATTTTGAGTTTTTTTGACAATTCAGACCCACCGCATGATGGATACGAAAAAACGCATACGAAAATTTCGAGCTCAGTTTGCAAGGACTTTAAGGCAGCAATGCATACTGTAGGTGAGACCCCACACTGTAAAACAAAACAAAAGGATTCTGCCTTAAATAAAAGTACAATCAACTTGGATGTTTAGGTCATTTCAATTTAAATAACATTAAACTGACATAAAAAATAAGTTGATTCCTGCATAACAAAAAAAAATTGTCTTATTTTGGTGAGTTAAAGGCAGCTGCATACAGTAGATGGTAGACAGCGAGACAGTGCACTTGTTTTTGGAACAGTACGTCTTTTAACTGCCATTACACTCCTCACCACTAGGGGTGTTAGTGAGACCTATGTGCTTAGATAAAGAGCCAGGTGAGCAGTATCATGGTTGACATTCTTGGTCAAAGTAGTTGGGAAACTTCCAGTTTCAAGCTCATGTAAGTAAAATGTATTTGTTGAAGTTTACAATCTGGTGAAAGATTATTTTTGTGCTTATCGAATATAGTGGCTATAATACAGATAATTAACAGGAGACATTTAGTGTTTTGTAGAAGGACTTGCAGAATCTGCTGAATCAATATCTGTGCCAACTTTGTGGTCCTGTTTGGGATTGTTCCACATTTGAGTACTACTAGGTTCATGGTTGGAGCTACAGTTGGATTACCATTATGGACTTGCTTTGACAATGTCATGCTTTGTTGGATTTAATTTTCCATCAAACCTCCTTATAATTCGACTCCTTAAAGACAGTTAAGACTTGCATCTGACTTTCACCTTAACTTTCTACAATGCTGAATGTTATAAGGACTGAAAGTATGTATTGCTGGAACTTTAACTCATATATATACATCTTTGTGTGCTGGGTGTTTTTGTAACACTGTTTGAAAATTGTTTCTTTGTTTTGAGTCTATTTTGCTATTTATATAAAGTCATATAAGGTGTTTACATTGGTGTTTTTATTTACTCATTGGATTAAAAACAGAATATTAATTAGCATTTACTCAAAGTAGCACGTGTTGGTTATACCTGTATCGTCAGGAGAACTTGGCTTTCAGTGCGGCTAAGTGTAATTAGCGAGAATCGTTAAACCTGTTTGTTCTTCTCTGGATGCAATCAAATCATTACAGACATCATCTCAGCGTGTTCTGCTGACGGTAGCGGTAAATGCCAGCTCTAATTTAATAGCATCTCAGCATTAGTGAAGCAAAAGAGTTATTTAAACACAAGGACACCACACCATGAAGTGTTTTGGAATTTAATCTGTCTCATGTAAAAGCATATGTGCTGTAATACCAAACAGAAAACTAGATCACAGGGTATATAAGAATGGAAAAGTACCCAAAAGCTCTGTATAATATATCTTACGGAAGGTGGACATGCATGAGAAGGTACTAAATAATATGTAAGATGAGATGTTTTTTTAAAAAGGTGCATGCTCAGAGATTCTCCACCAATAGAAAGAAGGCCTCGGGAAGATGTTTCTAACGGTAGCGATATCTCGAGGAAGAGAAAAAAGAAAAAGATAACTGTACAGATGCTCATTTGTTACCAAGCGATAAGAAAAAGGTATAAGACCTGAAGGCTGACCATAAGTCAGATGAACAGCTGGCATCTCACTTAGACGAATGAACTGGAAATTTGACTCTGAAAGATTTCTTTCAGACTTGAACAGAGACTTAAATCTGCCACAACAGAAGCCACATTCGTCATGAGCTGACTGGTTTAGATCTATCAAACTCAATCGGGCCCCGCTTGAAAACCAAAAGAGGACAAAACACATACAGTACAGAGTTAGTAAATCTAAAGATTGATGATTGTGAAATATCACTGTGTATTTATACCCAGCATCGGTGAGGCTACGCTGTTGTCCTCGCCACCAGAGTTGAGAAAGACGTCCAACGCCTCGTGGTCAGACATATCCATCAGATCCATTTGCTCTAGCATGTCCACGTTCACTTCCATTGATGACATGCTTCCTATTGTCTCTGTGAACCAAAGGAAGAGCAACAGCATCAATAACTGCAACCTCACACTTCAATCATTAATACGTATCAAGGATTTGAGTCCAGGATGAATGTTACAAGAAGTTTCCATTTCTGCGGAAAGAGTTCGAGTCAACTTTTGTCAGATAGAACAGCAAATTTGGTTACAGTATGTCAGATCTCATTTGATGCAGTGAGTTATGTCCTGGATTCGTCACCTTGCAGTCATGTCGACTCTGTGATGTCTTTAGCACATGCTTCACAAACACAGACTGCAGCGTGAGGCATGCCCATCACATGTGCGTGTGTGAGCGTGAGCGTGACATCAGTAAGCAGAGCGGTGAGCTGCGTACCTCAAGGTTGTGTAAGAGCGCAGCGGCACAGGGAGATGGACAACAAAGAGAGAGACATGTTAGGCCCCCTTTTACAGTACTGAGATACAAACACAACTGCACACTCAGACTCTCACTTTGAGAGAAATTCCACCAAAGCACTATTCCAACACAATTCCAGCCCATACTCAAAAAACAATACCCTTTAAAATAAAGATTGACATATTCTCACCTTGCTGCCCTCAGCCCCGCCTTCTTAATGACCCATTGGCTGATCCTTTGATGATTGATCTTAGCCCACCTTCTTAATGACCCAATGGCCAATCCTATCCCCGCCTTCCCAATTCTTTATTACCTGCTTGATGATTAAAGCCATGCCTTAAGTACCCACTGCCTTGTCCTATCCTTACCTTCTTCATGACCTGATGGCGAATCCTATCCCCACCTTCTTAATGACCCAATGGCCAATCCTATCCCCGCCTTCTTAATATCGTCCTGGCCAATTCTAGCCTCACCTTCTTTATTTTGTGCTTGATGATCCAAGCCATGCCTTATTAAGTACCCACTGCCTGGTCCTATCCTTACCTTCTTTATGATCTGATGACCAATCCTATCCCCACTTTCTTAATGACCAGCTGGCTGATCCTTACCTCGCTTTCTTAATGACCCACTCGCTGATCCTTGCCTAGGGGTGCAAAACTCAGTTCCTAAGTCCTTTTTTTTATAAAACTTCAAGGATGTTTTTTGGTGCAGGATTTGGAACTAAACTCTGCAGGGCTGTGGACCTCCAAGAACTGAGTTTTGCACCCCTTTGTTTTCATTATGACCCTTGGGATGATCCTTTATGACCCACTTGCTGATCCTAGTCCCACTTTTAAATGACCTGCTAGCCAATTATAGTCTGCTTTCTTGACCTGTTGGGTTATCCTTGCCCCACCTTCTTTTCTATCCGTTGGCTGATCCTTGCACTTTCTTTTTAATAGCCCACTGTCTGGTCCAAACCTTGCCTCCTTTATGACCCGATAGCAGATCTTCTCTCTGCCTTTTGAGAGGCTGTTTACACGACACTGTTTTCAACTGAAAACAATGCATTTTGGCCGTTTGGCCATTTATACAACAACGATGTTTTGGTGGCCTGAAAACGCAAACATTCGGAAACTGGTTTCAAACTGCAAGTTTTCGAAAACAGTCTCCATGTAAACAACAAAAATACGCACATGCGTAATTTACATGTCATAGTGTTTCAT